CTTTGTATTAAAAACATACATGGTACTAGACTCTCATTGGTGACAAACCAAGGCAATACTGTGATCAAACTCTGTGGTTTTATTCCACACTCAACATTCTCAAACCCTTCATGGAGGCCATAAGTGGTTTTAGCACAGCCTTTTATGGCACAAACTTTTGCCAATTCTGGCAGGTTCATAGGGTAGTCTTTCACAACCTGGGATAGCTGAGCTGCTCCCCTCATTAGACTACCTAACACCAAATATTTTATATGGTTAGACCAAAAATCTGGACTAACTTGGTTAGATAATAAAATCAAGCTTTATACCTGCCAAAGTCAGACTGCAGGTCTCCTATATATCAAATATTTCACAACTTGTCCTGCTCTAACAAATTGACAGCAGAACATGAAAATAGAGGTGTGCAGATGCCAAGATGACCAATGACAAAGGCTGTGAAACACACTTGACCCAGAGAATTTCAGATTTGACCCTGACTTTGTTCATGAACAACACTGGTCTTTTTTATCTTATGTGGGAACAAAGTATAATATATAAAGGATTCCTGCCTAAATAGGGAGGGCAATGTGGACTCAGATACCTGGATTCTTCTATAACTAGATACTACACCTTAAATACTAGCCGAATTACAAACTTGGGATGCTTCATTAATAAAGTCATGCCATATAAACATATCAGATGAGACTGCATAGTAAACCTGCTTGTGTATTGCCAGCCAAAGTTCTTTACAATGTTGAGGACCTACTTCCAAGTTTTGGAAATTGTGACTTAGAAAAAGCAACCCTAAAGTCTTTTTATGGTAATAGAACAAGAGTTTAATGCTACTATGAAAATGTTGGAAGCATTCTGATCAGAAGTTAATAGTTTAGCTTCTATTATACTCCAAAATCATCATACCCTGATACACAACTACCCAACAAGGAGGAGCTTGTGCAATTACTGGTGAAAATGCTGCCTCTTTGTGAATCAGATGAGACAAATATTGTCTAATTTATACCTTTGAACAGAAAAGAATAACACTCTCCATAAGGTAAATGAAGCTCAACCATTTTATTGACTGGCCCATTGCCAGAGTTGGAAGACTGGTTTAATGGGAGATGGGGGAATATGTTTACATTTGTGCTTTTTTGCTTATTTATCCTCATTCTAATATACATTCTTCTCTCCCTTTGAGAGAGATCTCCTACCACTCACTACCAAACTGATTCTTTTCTCTACAGCCACCAACTGACCTTTTATAATGAAAAACTTTTGATGTTTCAGATGGGGAAATGAAGGTGCTCAGAACATGGTACCTCAAAACATGCCACTTTGCCATATTTATTATTTTGGGCTGAAAGTGGTGGAGCAACAGCAGATGCAGGAAGAGGGCTGTTGACCACCTCCTTTCTGCCTGAAGCAAGACATAAAATTTCCCATATGAAAGATATCCTCCCTGTGTTAGGAAGAGAACATTTTTATCACTGGAGGCTGGGAGTCAATGCTAACATGGATCAGTACAAACAAACCTATTAAAATAATCCTTGTCTTCCATTAGTTTTTCCCATTTATTTTCTAGTCATTATTGCCACAAATTACAAGCTTAAGCCACTTTTCCTTTGTCTTGTCACTTCTCCACAATTTATCATTCTTTGTTAAAGAAGTATATAAGCTTTCTATCATATTTGCTTCTTTGGGTCTTCATTTTTGCTATGAAGTTTGCCATATGCCAACAAAAATATTAAATAAAATATATATTCTTTTTTCCTGTTAATCTCTCTTTTGTCAGTTCAATTCATAGGCCCTAGCTACAGAATGTAAGAGAGTAGAAGAAAGTTATTTATTACCCCTTATAACTGGCACATAAAAAGTACTCAATAAATATAAGTTGTTCCTTTTACGGTTATTAATAATATTGTCCCTTGCCCCTACCCACTTCTGTATGAAAGGCAGTGAAAAGCATGAAAAAGAAGCCAAGCACAAGAACATTTAATGATTCATAGGCCTGCTAGCATTCAAGCTCCCCTAAGAAATTAAGATAAAAAAGTAATCAAAATATGATATCCATTAAAGAATTATTCTGGTAGAAATGAAATCATTCTGATGGCACATGCCTGTAGCCCCAGCTTCTTGGGAGGCTGAGGCAGGAAGATGATTTGAGCCCAGGATTCAATTCCAGCCTGGACAATATAGTGAGACTCCATCTCAAAATAACAAAAATGAAAAAAACAAAAAGCAATGAAAAACCCAAAACTGAAATACTCAGCAAATTCATACTGCAGTATAGCCACTGCACCTTAGTAATGGTGAGTTGTTCACCATATGGTGAGCTTCCTAGAAGGAACCTACACAAGGAAGTCTTCACGGATCATGACACTATCAGCATATCAAGCTCACTCAAGCCTTAGTGTACTTTTCATTAATTTGACTGCCTCTTTGCATGTGCGTCACAGAGTCCACTAAGAAAACACCCTATTCAACCTTGAAGTAAGACTTCAAGCTCCCTTCTCAGCCCAGTTGAAATATTTTTCTAACTTGTAAAATTTGACTTCTCTGAAAAGTTTTCAACCTTTTAAACTGGATTAGTGGATAAGTAAGTGACATTTTAAAAAAACAGTGGCAAAATGCATTATTAATATAGAAACCAGTATTTTTTACAGTTTTTGGTAGTTATACATCGGTCTGGCAAACAGGATTGTTATGCTTCTATTTCACAAAGAGAAGGAAAAGAGGTTACCAAACATTATCAAACATTAAAGAAACAAGAATTAAAAAGATGATTTCTCAGTATCAAACTCAAACCAACTTACTTTGGCTATTAGCATGTTTGTTACATCCACAGGATATAGTTAATCATTAATAACCATTATTGTTGTTATTAAAATAAATAAAACATCTAGTATATAGCATATCTCATAAATGTATGACAGATGCTATCCAAAAAGACAATTAACTGCAATTTCAACCTTTTAATGACATTATAAAGATGCATTAATATTCATAGTTCTCTTTGCCCCTCTACTCCATAAAAACCTAAGCACATTTACCCTTATGGATGAGAAGACCAGGCAGTTGTGTTTGTCTCCTTATCAAAAACAGAGGAAAACAAGAATGCCCTATGATTCTTACCTAAAACATAAGAAACAGGAACTCAGTGCACAAGCAACAGGTGACTAAGAATCTGGCTAGTTGATGACAGGATGGGAGTGTCTCTGAGACTCACCAACTAGGAAAAGGGACGGGAAAGGAAAAAACTCTGAGAGGACCTGGGAAATGAGCTGTGAAAATATTCAGGTATATTTAATAGGATTGGAGGCTGTTCCACTTCAGAATTTTATAAGAGTTTGGACCAAGTATGATGTTGGGGACCAAGTGTGAGGTTGAGGTATGGGGACAAGACCTACTTGCTTAAAAATAAAACAAACAAAACCCAGAGCAGGGAGATAGCAAGATAACTTGAAAGGATTAAAAAGGAACTTCAAAAGGCACAGGTGCACTCGTAAACATTGTAATTACGTTTTATGTGTTTTATAAGTTTACGTATGCTCTGTAATTGAGTAGTGTCGCAAGGTTGCATCTAATTAGTATCTTAGTATTTCATAAATATTATGGCAGACAAAAAATATTGTTGTTATTTAGTTGTGTATGTCTTATTTGCTTTTAAATCTTAACATGTAATAGCTACAATTTCAAAAATCCAAGCTATAATATTTATTGATGGCCTACACTGTTCTATCCAAATATGTGATATTTATTATAATTTTAAAGGTTAAAATAAATACACAAGTCTTTCATTAAAATATTATTGAGACAGTATTAATAGGAAAGTAATTTCTGCCATATCTATAAAATCCAAAATCAATAACTGGATATGAAGTTACCTAACCAGTTATCCTTAGTTACCTAAGGATTTTCAGTAAATAATTATGACATTTAAAAATTACAGCAACACTCTGGGGTCAGAATTACAATTCTCATTTTCCAAATGAGTAAATAAACATTTTAATAAGTTATTAAAATTTAATAACTTGCCTATCAGCCCAAAGCTAGAAAACCTACTTCTAGCTAATTCTAAGGCTCTTGCTTTTTACCCTGCCCTATACTGGACCAGTCACTATTATTGTAGAGGTAAAACTATGATACAAATGTAGGACAAGTCAAGAGAAGGGAGACTGAATATTTTCATTGTCTAGTACAGTATGGAGATGAGGGAAATCTTTCTATTTGTATAATTAACCATCATACTTTGCTGTTATAATCAATTTCACTTTTAAAAAAGAAATTAATAAGGCTAACAGTCTAAATATCATCAAAGATATGCATTTAGCTACACCAAAGGACACTACTCTTTCTGTGAAACTATTTTTAGCTTAGATCACTTTAACAAAATGGTTGCCTCATTTCTTAATTTTTTTCTAATTCAACAACTGTTTTTATTTACTCAAAATGATTAGAGGTGTTAACCTGGCAATTAAGTTATGTTTCATATTTTGACTTAGTTTATTCAATTTTCATGAGAAAAATGGAAGTGCTGCATTCATATTTAATAACTTTCCACATCATGAGATATAAGAATTTAAGAAGTCCTTTAAACTAAGGCACAAACATTTTACCTAAATTAGAGGTAAGTTTTAATCATTTTGGGGAGTCATATCTCCTGGTTATGTACAGCACATTCCAACTGCCAACAGTGATTAATTGAAGGTCAGATTTGTTATATAACTTTCTCAGAAAAACACAACGGCCAAGCGTGGGTCCATTAGCACCGGCCTAGAAATTTTTGTGCTATAAAGCACAGAGAGGAACCAGGACAAAGGGCACTAGCTTGAGTCTAGCATCAGCCCTAAATCTAAGAGAGCTAAACAGTTACTCACATTTTTACTTTCCTTTCTTTCCTATTCTCTCTTTTTCTCTCACTCTTACACACTCTGCATATATTGACTCATCGAATTCTATTAACACCCCATGAGTAGGCACAAGTATTGTCCCCATTTTCCAGATGCCACTCAACTGCTTTTTACCTCAGACCAAGCAAATTTCAGCCTCATCGCCTGGATTCAGGTTTCAGAACCATATCTCATCCATTGGCAAAGCCCTGCAGGGGCTCAGCTCAGCAGTTCAGGTGAGGAAACCAAACCAGCTGGGGTGAGGACAGGTGGGTTCTTCAGCTCCAGCCATCTCTTCCACCTAAATGCTGGCTTCTGGGATGTTTCTGGCTCTCTGCAAAGTTTTAGAATAAAGTTTTAGCGTTTAAGGGAGAGAAAACTGTAGAAAGTGCCAAAAGATGTGTGGCTGGAACCAGGGACCCAATCCGGAGGTTTGGCTAAAAGCCCACCGTGCCCAGGAGCCCCCAGTCTCTCATAGCCGCTGTCTACACTCAAGTGTGGCTGGTGCAGCAAATGAGCCAGACCCAGGGTGGCCACTACCAGAAGGAACAGATGGTTTCCCGCCTCGATGCTGTCCCGTTCCACACTCCTAACACTGGCAAAGTTGGGGACCCCGCATTACTTCTGTCACAAGTCGCCTCAGCCTGCCGGGTCCTCACTGGCCTCTGCCCACCAGAACAATGGCGTGGGTTTCCCACAATCCCTGGCGCGCCTGCGCTCTGGGGCTCGCGGGTCTCCAGGCGGCTGCGACAAACCTGCTCCTCACGCGCCTGCTGCTCTGATGCCTGCGGTTTTCCTCTGAGGCCTGGTGTTCGCGTCTCTGCTTCAGGTGTTCTCATGTACCCTGTAAGTCCTTTGCTGTGATTTCCATTCCGGTTTCTTCTCTGTACTCCATCCTAAGAATCCCCCTGGCTATCATCTCTACACCCCAAGTAAGGCTCCCCACACTGCAGCCAAGGCCTGGCATCCACTCGGTAGCAATTAATTAAATTCTACTTCATGATCCTGATCCTTCCTGGCCCACAAACCGAGTTCAAATGTCCTGCTCTCTTGGTCCAGTTCCTTCACTGATTTACTTCTATTTAGATTTTTATGCTGTAGAAGTTTCTGTTATATATCTATACTTAAATAAACACATAAATGTACTTACGTTATATGTTACTATAATTGTAATAATGTTATTGCATTTAGACTGGACTCCATCAGCGTTTTCACTGATTGCCTAAGTGAGAATTGTAGACATTACTGAAAGATTCAGAGGAGAAGCTCTAGGGTCACTGGGACCTTTCAGACTATACGATAGGTGTCAATTACTTAATATATTGATTTAACCATTTAACAAATGTTAGTGGATTATTAATTACATTCCAAACACTGTTCTAGGCATGGAGGGTATTGTAATAAACCACACAAAACAGGCTGTATTCTCATGGTGCTTGCTTTCCAGTGGAAGGAAACAGACAATAAATAATAAATGATTTCAGAGTGATAGCTGATACTACAGAATCTAAAAAGAAAAATAGGAAAGAGAGCAATTAGGGTTGAATATGTATGTCACGTCCAGTTTAAAGTGTAAAAGATAACTACTGTTTAAAGAGTAATTATCCAGTTAGCATTTCCTTCAGAAATTGATAGTACTTATTTCCTCACACCTCAAGCTAACATTTACTATAATACATCATAAAGTTGTTGCCAATATGAGTAATGTAAAAATGTAATCTCATTATTATTGTGATTATAATTTGTTTTATTTTGAGAGAAGTTGAGCCATTCATATTTCTTTGCTGTGATTTTCTGTTCAGATTCTTTTCCGATATTAGGCTTGAATCATTTTGAATTGATTTGCTTAAGAAGTCTTTAAATAATAGGGGAAATTAGCAGTTGTCACATGTTCTCAATGTGTTTTTCCAATTTTTATTTTCACTTGTCCATGATATTGTTTCCATGCAAAAGGCAAGCTCCTTCTTTTTTCTTAAACATAGTTTGTTTCTAAATATTTGGAGAGTAAGTGGAACTTAGTTCCCCCAGGAGCGAGCCCTAAGATGAGGTTTCATGTGATTTTTTTAAAGAAATTTTTCTCAAAATAAAACTCTTAAGAGAATGAAAGAAGCAGGAAAGAGAAAGGGTTGAAGCCAAGAAAGGGTGTAATTTTATGTAAAGCCTTGGATGGGCAGCTTTAGCCTCATTATATAGAGGGGATCCAATTAAGGGCAGTGGGAGGCAAAATAAGCCTGAATGGGAGTGAGAGAGGGAGAAGGGAAAACACACTGAATCTGGGGAAAGGGATGCACAACAAACAATACAAGGGGCCTTGAGGGATCTGTATAGGCACTGACAGTGTCCCTTAACAATGGATGGTTCAGGGTCAATGTAAGGAAAGAATAGGGAAGTTCAAACCCAACATCTGACTTGCATAAAAATCTCTTTTTATTTACTTGTGATTAATTCTTCAACTAGGTAATAGGAGAAATCCACCCAGTCAGGAAAATTTAGTCCACCCTAACATAGTCACTCATGATTAGTCACATATAATTTGTTTCCTGCTTTCCGTCACCTTTCTCAGTATTTGTAGTCATGACTGAAGATGCCAAAGTTATTGAGAAAGTCATTTTTCAATAAGTTGAAGGCCAAGTAAATACCTATAGATGTAGATCTTGGGGGTCTATGAAAAGTGATAATGTATTGGAAAGGAAACACTTGGTATTGGTTAAGGAACACAGAATTTATTCTTGTACCATTACTTATTAAGAACACCCTTGTGGTATTTCTGACGTAACTGAAAAATAGTCCATGATAGTGACTCTCATTAGCATCTCAGAGTGTTTTCTTCTTGAAGGATGCATAAATTCTACTAAAGACATGTGTTTCTTAATATTGTTCTGAAGTAAGATTTTTATCTTATAAATATCAAGCTGAGGACTCAAATCAATACATATTTGCTAATGTTTGAGAAGACAGTTCGCACAGGCTATGGGTTTCTAGAAGCTTCTCTGAAGGTCACATGGAGTTTATATGGCCTGATACTAGGGCAACTCATAACAGTAACTTTCCCATGGCAGTGCAGGCTTCTCCCAGCAGCATAAACAGGTCAGGTGAGCACTGTATAATGACTGAGGGACATTCAGTATGAAAAGTAGCTTACATCAATGACTTTTTGGTTGTTGCTTTTCTTAACTGAACCTCATATATGTACATGTGATTTTCACCAGGCCTTCTCATGGAGAAAGTTCCAGACATGACTAGGTAAATGCCAAAGATTCTTTATGAGATAGTGTAGTCACATTGAAATAGTGATCCCCTAGGTTTGAAAAATGTAAGTCAAACACAAGGCATATGGCTAAACTATTGGCTCACAGCACTTGGGTTTTATCACCACAGATCCCCTGACATTATTTTTGTTGGACACATTTAAGAGTTCATGCCAAGCCTATACTATTTTCTGAGCAGTCACAAATTACTAAGCAGTGAATAATATACTTGGCACCAGAAAGCAAAAAATACTTTGTGGTTACTAATTCATCAGTGCTTATCACTTCATTTGAATTCAACAAATATCTACAGAACAGTAGCTTTCACTGTACTGGAGATCATGCAAATATGGATACAAATGAGACGGTCCTTGCCATCAGGGACCAAGACTGATAAATATAAAATAAATGTAAAATATATTCTCATATTTAGATAGGAACACATTGGCAGAAGAATGGCATAAATGATCATGTAATATTATGCAATAATGTGATAATATAGATATTGGTAAACTGATGTTCTAACATTTGGGTTCTCATAAAGCAGTATTCTATGACTGTATATTTCTTTGTTTTTATTTAAATAGATTTAGGAGGGACAAGTGTTTTTTTGTTACATGGCTAAATTACACTCTGTCTAGGCTTTTAATATACCCATCACCTGAATACTATACATTGTACCCAATAGATACTTCATCCCACACTTTCTGTGTTCTGAGTCCCCAATATCCATTAAGTCTGTAGTTCCCAGCCCTTAGGCTGCTGACCACTACTGGTCCATGGCCTGTTAGGGACCCACCGCAAAGCTCCGCCAGCCCCCTCCCAACCCCGTCCATAGAAAAATTGTCTTTCTTGAAATTTAGGAATGGGGATGCACAGTAGGAGGTGAGTGATGAGCGCAGGCAAGCGAATTTACAGCTAATGCCCATTGCTTGCATCACCACCTGAACTCTGTCTCCCCCACCCCCAACCCCGTCCGTGGAAAAATTATCTTCCATGAAACCAGTTGCTGGTGCCAAAAAGGTTGGGGACTGATGCTTAACAATATAACCATACATACATATTGTTTAGCTCCCACTTATAAGAACATGCCATATTTGGTGTTTTGTTCCTGGGTTACTTTAATTAGAATACTAGCTTCCAGTTCCATCCAAGTTGCTGCAAAAGACATTATTTCAATATTTTTGATGGCTGAGTAATATTCTATGGTATGTGTGTGTGTATATATATATATATACACATATACATATATATTAACACATACACACACACACACCCCACATTTTCTTTATCCACTTATCCCTTGTTGGGCACTTAGGCTGGTTCCATATCTTTGCAATTGTGAATTGTGCTGCAGTAAACATACAAATGCAGGGGACTTTTTTCTATGACTTATTTTCTTTTGCGTAGATAATGAGTAGTAGGATTGCTGGATCAAATGGTAGGTCTACTTTTAGTTTTTTGAGATATCTCCATGCTGTTTTTCCATAGAGGTTATACTGTTTACATTCCCACTAACAGCACATAAGCATTCCCTTTCAGCACATCTGCACCAGCATCTGTTCTTTTCTGACTTTTTGATCATGGCCATTCTGACGGGTAAGGTGGTTTCCCATTGTGGTCTTATTTGAATTTCCCTAATGATTAGTAATGTTGAGCATTTTTTCATGTTCATTGGCCGTTTGTTTCTCTTCTTTTGAAAAATGTCTTTTCATGTCTTCTGCTCACTTTTTAATGGGGTGGTTTCGTTCTTACTGATTTGTTTGTTCCTTATAGGTTCTGGATATTAGGCCTTTGTCAGAAGTATAGCTTGAAAATATTTTCTCCTGTTCTGTAGGTTGTCTATTTACTCTATTGATTATATCTTTTGCTGGAAGAAGTTTGTAGTTTAATTAATCCCATTTATTTTTCTTTTTGTTCTATTTGCTTTTGGGATCTTAGTCATAAATTCTTTCTTTTCTTTTCTTTTTTTTTTTTTTTGAGACAGAGTCTCACTTTGTTGTCCAGGCTAGAGTGAGTGCCATGGTGTCAGCCTAGCTCACAGCAACCTCAAACTCCTGGGCTCAAGCGATCCTGCTGCCTCAGC